CGATGCGGGACTCGATCCCAGGACCCTGGGATCATGACCTGAGCTGAAGGCAGTCGCTTAACCAACTGAGCCACCCAGGCGCCCAAGAATGTCTCACTTTTATAATAATAATAATTGCATATATTTGCTTAAATGCTTTTATTACCAATAAACATTGAGTGGAAATTATTTTAGAATTTCCATGTAAATATTTAGAAATAAAGAATCCTATCTGTTGTCTTATACTTTAATTTGTAAAGAAATTCATTTTTTAGAGCAGTTTTAAGTTCATGGCAAAATTATGAGGAAGGTACAAAGATTTCCCATATACAACTGTCCCCACACATGCATAGCTTCCCCTTCTTTGTTTCTATTTTTGTCTTCAACTTTTTTTTACCTTTTGTGTTTTTTTTTTAAAGATTTTATTTATTTATTTGGGGGAGAGAGAGCTATAACAGGAGCAGGGGGAGGGGCAGACAGAGAGGGAGAAGAGGCTTCCCGCTGAGCAGGGCTCCTTAAGTAATGTCTACACCCAATGTGGGGCTCAAACTCACAACTCCCAGATCAAGAGTTGCTCGCCCCCTCGACTGAGCCAGCCAGGCACCCCAATCCATTATAGTTTTTAAAAAATATTTTTTAGTGGTTACCCTATAGTTGGCAATATACATTTATAACTAATACAAATCTACTTTTAAATAACACAATGCCACTTCACTGGTTGAATGAGTACCTTTTAATAAGAAAATATTTCTAATTCCTCCCTCCTGGCCCTTGTGTTATTGTTGTCATTCATTTCACTTATATATATGTGCATCCATAAGCATATATATATGTGTATGTATATATGTACATTTATATGATGTAATTGTAAGCATACATAATCAAATTCATGGTTACTATTATTATTTTGAACAAACTGTTATGTTAGATCAATTAAGAATAAGAAAAATGAAAGTTTTTGTTTTACCTTCACTTAACCCTTCTTTTGATCCTCCTGCTTTCCTTAGGTAGATCAAGTTTCTGACCTATATTATTTTCCTTCTCTTTAAAGAACTTCTTTTAATTTTTTGCAAGGCAGGTCTGCTGCTAACATATTCCCTCATCTTTGGTTTGTCTGAGAAATTTTGCAGAGCACAGAATTCTAAGAAGGTGGTTTTTTCCTCTCAGTGCTTTAAATGTTGACTCCATTCTCTTCATTCTTACATGGTTTCTGAAGAGAATTGGGATACAATTATCTTTGTCCCTGCGTAGGTAAGGTATTTCCGCCCCCCCGAATTCAAGATTTTTTCTTTGTCTTTGATTTTCTGCAATTTGAAAATGATTTCAAGATTTTTTCTTTGTCTTTGATTTTCTGCAGTTTGAAAACCCTAGGAGTAGGGTTTTTTGTTTTTTGTTTTTTTGGCATTTATTCTGCTCATACTTCTCTGAGCTTCCTGCATCAGTAGTTTGGTGTCTGACGTTAACTTGGGGAAATGTCCAGTTATTGTTTCATGTATTTCTTCTATTCCTTTCTCTCTCTCTTTTTTTTTCTTCTGGTGTTCCCAATAAATGTATATTATGCCTTTTTAAATTGTCCCACAGATCTTAGATAGTCTGTTCTGTTTTTCTCAGTCTTTTTTCTCTTTGCTTTTCCATTTTGGAGGTTTCTGTTGAGGTATCTTCAAGTTCAGAGATTCTTTTCTCTGCCATGTCCAATCTACTAAGAAGCCTATCAAAGCCATGCTTCGTTTTTGTTACAGTGTTTTGATCTCTAGCATTTCATTTTGGTTCTTTCTTAGGATTTCCATCTCTCTGGTTGCATTGCCCATTTGTTCTTATGTGCTGTCTATTTTATCCATTGGGGCCCTAGTGTATTAATCATAACTGTTTTAAATTCACAGTCTGCTAATTCCAACATCCCTACCATGTCTGGTTCTGATGCTTGCTCCGTTTCTTTAAATTGTGTTTTTTTGCCTTTTGGTATGCCTTGTAATGTTTTCTTCATCGCCAGACATGGTGTACCAGGTAAAGGGCACTGCTATGAATAAACCATTAGTAGTAATGTGGTTGTGAGGTGGGGTGTGGGGAGGGCAAGAGTCCTATAGTCCTATGATAAGGTCTCAGTCTTTTAGAGAGCCTATGCCTCGCTGGATTGTGAACTTCACAAGTGTTTTTAATTTTTATTATCCCTTCCTAAGTGGAAGGGGATGGCTAGAATGGGCTGGAGTTGGGTGTTTCCTTGCCCCCAGGTGAGTTAGGCTCTGGTAAAACCCCAGCAGCTTTGGCTCTGGTTAATTAGTTTTCCCTGAGGTTAGGCCTTCTTAAGAACAGAGCATGCTGGCATATTTCAAAATGGTTCTTTTCCCCTTCTTCTGCCAGAAGCCGGAGGAGATTTTTCTCCTATATCCTGTGGGAACCTGGTTGAGCTCCTGGATGTAAATCTCGGGTTCTTTCCATGGTTTTTGCCTGTGAATCTCTGCTCTGGTAAGTTGTTATTTTCCATATTTGCTTGTGGATCTTTCCAATATTGAGGGCAGTGGTTTGCCCCGTATTATTACCTCTCTTATGGATCCTAGGAAAGTTGTTGATTTTTTTTCAGTATATTCAGTTTTTCACTTGTTAGGATAGGGTGGCCCTTTACAGAATCTTTTCATGCAGAACTGGAAATAGAAGTCTATCTTATACATTTAAAAAAAATACCAGATGACTTTTCCCTAATAATGTAGAATAATTAAAGAATATTCTCTTATGTTATCTATGTAGAAAAGATTAGTGATCTTGACAGTCTAATCCTACTTTATAATAGAGAAAACTCAGGTTATAGGAACACTAAGAACACTTATTATATGTATTCTAGTAATTAAAGATGGTCAAAGTTGAGAAGGAGTAAACAGATCCCTTGGTCTAAACATAATCAATGATTTTCATCAATCCTAAGTCAGCATTTAAGGTTTAAGTGGCTGGGTCTCTATCTTACTATATTGTATTTTTTAAGTCTTTATTATTTACTCCAGAGGATATTAGTTATGCTTAAAAAATATTCATTAGTCTCTTTGCTTTCAGATGCTCTAATATTTATGCCTATTGAGTGTCTATACCCAAACATTTTAGAATAGCAGTTTGTCATGAAATATAAACTCTCAGCAGATAAATATGATAGACTTTCCCTAAAAGCCAAAATCATGCCTTTATCTACCATCATATTTATACTATCCTACATCCCTTTTATTTCTCCTGGTTGCGTTAAAATAAGGAGTTATAGTCTCTTGAGTTCTAGAGTTTCATAATCTATTATTTAAAATGTATTTATTTAACAAATATTGTGCATATTTTATGCCAGGTGCTAAGAATCAAGAATCAACACACAAAATGATCTGATGGAATTCATAGTTTAGTGGAGAGTTTTTAGGACATTATTCACAAATTATCACAACCTCTATTGTATAATCTTACGCTATATATCCATAATGTGGGTCAAATTTAGGGAGATCAGATATAAGTGGCGTATTTTTCAGGTTGGTTCATTCGATTTCCACTCCTCTCATTTTAGACTTCCTTTCTGTACTATGAAGTCTGTAAAGCTGAAATCTACATTTTTCAGAATTCTTAATCCTGGGCCTCCCCTCATAAGCTAGGTTCTGGAGAAGCACCCAGGTAAAAACAGAAAGGCAAAAGTGGACACTCTGAGGTGACATCCAGGGAGATCTTGGTTGTGGCTCTTATGTTGTAAGCTCTAGTGTATGGTCTCCAGCAACACAGGAATTGAGGAGTGGACATTGGTTGCAGTGGGCTCCACTGAAACATTCCTGGGCTGTGGTATATTTCTGTATGTTCTGTATATTTCTTCTATACTCTTCCTTGGCTATGTAGCAGCCAAGCTTGGTTTCCTGGCCCTTGCAGAAATTTTTTGAGTTATTCTAATAACCTGAAATAATTCCCTTTTTCATTAACCTAGCTCAAGAAGATTCTGTTTTCTGTAAAGGACCTAGACAATGGAATGTGCCTTCTGAGTCTTTGTTAAAGATCTTTCTTCAGTAACCTGGGTTATAAATGATCCCAAATCTGATTTTGTATGTTAATTTGTGAGTTTGAGGTGCCATCGCCCATAGCAGTATAAATTTTAACTTTCTACCAATTTGTGTGGAGAGCCTGGAATTTGATTTCTGGTGGGTGTTTTTTACTTTTGTTTTATTGAACTTAGACTCAAGACTCCAGACCAATGAGAAACTCTCTTGAACCATAAATTTTTTTTCTATCCCTTTTCCACAGACAACAGATGTTTTCCAGACTCTGGGATTTATGACCTTCCCTTTACCAACCATTGGATTTAAAATCCTAGCCCTCTGCAACCAAGACCTGATATCAGGGTGTAAAATCTTAAGGGTTGCTGAGTATCAATTCTCATTTATCACTATCTCCTTTTTTCCTTTCTTCGTCTCTAGTACGAGTGGCATTTACTTACTTTGAGTTTGTAAAGTGTTAAAATTTATTTAACTCTTGTGACTTGTAGTTAGTGAGGTCACAGTCCATATATATTTATTCTTCTGTATTGCTGTAAGTCCATCACTAAAAGTGTCCATCAACATTAATCAAAATGATTAGAGTGTATTCTCCTTAGATCATAACACTGCTGAGCTAGCGATGTCCTACAAAAAGGGCAGTGACTGGTAACGTAGTCATGGCAGAAGAAAGATATCCGAGGAGGAAATCTGTTAGTGCATTTCCAGTACCATCTAAGGTAGCAGTTATTTTGTTTTGGAGCATTAGAATTGGTTTTTCAGAACTGTGCTGTTGGTGATGGTAGCTATTAGCCACATGTGGCTATTGAAATTTAAATTAATTATATTAAATAAATTAAAAAATCTAGTTCTTCGGTTACACCAGTCACATTTCAAGTGCTCTATAGCCCACATGTACTAATGACTACTGTGTTGGACTCCTCCCGTGTGTCACACATTGTTGCAGTCATCAGCATGAGGGGGACATAGTCCTTGTTCTAAGGTGCTGTGCTCCTAAACACATAACAAAGTAAAAAATAACACTTAAGAAATATCACTTAAGAACAATAACAACAAAAGGACACTTTAATATTGGTATGCAATGACAAAGTTAAAATAGGATAACATAGGGATGAGAGAGTTGTTTTGTGGCTAGTTTTATTAGGAAGGCTCTCTGAATTATCAGTTGAATTGTAACGAGGTGATAGAATGCAAAAATCTTGAAGAGTATGTGAAGCAGGTAAAAAAAATAAGTACCAAGACCCAAGACAGAAAAAGCCTGACATGTTTAAGGTACAGACAAAACGTCTACGTGACTGAAGATTATGAAAAGGATAAGCATGGAAGGAGAGGAAATCAGAAGTTGGCCTAATAGTTTGGGTTGCACTGAGGAGCCACTGAAGAATTTTAAACAGAATCGTAACATGACCTAATACATACTTAAGAAAAATCATGAATAAAATGAGAGCTCACAGAACAAATTCAATAGAAATAAATCTTCAGCTGAGTTTCTTTGTCATCCATGATTTTGCACATTTCTAGGGTGTGAGGGGAGGATGCTCTGCCATGTGGTCTCCAGTAACAGACTTTATTTCTAAGCCACTTAGTGGGGACCTGTTTGGGCAGGAATCTTGGTGTATGGAGAGAATAGACTGGAGACTGGGGTGGTAAATTAAGGGTGGATGAACATGTTGCGTTTATTGGGACGAAGTCATGTATGTTAATTTAGCTGAAGTTGCAAAGAAGATAAAAATGATCACATGTAAATTTTCTGCAATTTATGAAGTGTGCCCAACTGATTTCTCCTCCTATCTCCCTAATATTTTCAAAACTAAGGGTTGGAATCTTCTTTTAAGAACACTAATTAGCTACCTGCATATGACTTTTTTGAGGCCCCATTAATGCAAATGTAATGGGGCAGATGCAAGTTCAAAGCACTGGAGGATAATATTTTCAACCCTGCCTGCATTGTTTAATGAGACAATGAATTCAGTTGACTTCAGATGTGTCATGTCTTGTAAATCATTGGGTTATTAACTTTAACAGGGTGAATGAATGTACTGCTCCCATTTCCAATTCATAGCATTAGCACTCTAGATGATAGCGCCAGAACATGGGGTGATAATTCTACATTATTGGCTTATATGTAGAGTGACCCTCTTATGTGTGAGGGATTTAGAAGGAGGAAACATTTATGTGCATAGGGGGAAAACAAAAAAGGTCTAGATTAAACAAACAAAAAAATAAACCCAATTTACATATTTCCTCTTCATTTCAGTCAGAACATTAGTAGGATGGCAAATGTGTGTTTATGGGCACAAGTTATTGTTCAATTTTGCTTATTTCCCTAACCATTGATGATTTTATTTATTTATTTGAGACAGAGAGAACGAGAGAGAGAGCACATGAGAGGGGGGAGGGTCAGAGGCAGAATCAGGCTCCCTGCAGAGCAGGGAGCCCGATTCGGGACTCGATCCAGGGACTCCAGGATCATGACCTGAGCCGAAGGCAGTCACTTAACCAACTGAGCCACCCAGGCGCCCACCATTGATGATTTTACGAGTTTTAGTTTGGTGCCAGAGTAAGAAAAACTGTGTATTTCTCTATGTTTTACCTACAGTCTTCCAGTGTGTATTTGAGCTCTTGGCTGGTGAGCGGGATTGCCACTAAGTTGTAGTGTTGTATGATACTGTTCTAGTGGTCCTGAAGAGTTAAGATATCCTAGTGCCTTAGTGATTAGTGTCTGCATGGTCGGGTAATTTAAATTGTTGCTACATAGCTCACTCTATTTTGAACTGATTTGACATTGATAATAGCTGGGCTGGTTAAGGGTCTGAGCAAATTCTGTCTCAAGGGCTAATTGATGTATCAAGAGAATACAGCCGTCACAATTAAGAAGGAAAGACATTTAAGCCACCACAGACGCAAGATACTGCTCTAATAAATGAACCTACAAAATGTGAAGTGAGGGGCCCAGTTATGCATATGCAATCTTTTTATTTAATCTCTCTTCCCTGTTAGACTCTGAATCTAGCCTTAGGCACCAGGTTGAGGAAGCATTATTACTCAGTTGCGAAATGGCCCAGATTTAAGATTCCCATTCACTTACAGGTTTGTGAGCTTTATCAAACAGAACATTATGAATAGGGAAGGGAACGTTTTGCCTTTTCTAGACTAAATTAATTACATCTAAATGACAAAGGTCCTGCTTCTGAGTCACACTTGTCATTGAGCTGTTCTGGTTAAAATCATGTGACTTTCTGCCTGTCCTCTTAAAAAAAAAAAAAGTGATAATTTCTGTACCATTATTAGAATCAGGGGGAAAAAAATGGACTGTAAAGTAAAACACATATCAAGATTAATATGGTAGTTTTCCAATTTTCCTAGATGAACCAATCTTGGTAACTTTGTGCTATGAATTCTTGTCCATGCTAATTGGATTGAGAAGGGAAAGAAAAGTTTCCTGCCCTTTTGTTCCTCTGAATT